ACATTTTGCTTTATGGCATTAATGAGAAGCCCCACATTATAACAACATTCTCTGCTTCCTCCCTGCGGTGTTCTTTTCACTTATGCTTCTATCCTTTCTTCTCTTCGGAGCTTTCTTTGCCCAGGGATAAGTATTACCATTGACGGGTAATAGTCTAACCAGTGAGTGTTACAGTTCAACTTATTTGTGGCTGTTAACCATCAGGTTAACTATGAGTCACAGCGACCGTATCTCACTATGACTCTTAGTGACAACTATGGATACGATTGAAACCTTGCCCTATCCTGCCCCGTCCTTATAATCTCTGATACGCATGAGCCCATTGTTTCTGTCACTCTGTCAAATCATCTCCTTGAGGGGCTTCTCTTCAGTAGACCCTGGACTTTCCCCAGCTTGATGTCTGAGTTCTCCCAGGACAAGCACCTTCTGACAACACTGCCCCAAGTAGCTGAGACAAAGTTTCACAACCCTTGCCTCCAAGGAGCATTGAGGGCGTACTTCCTCAAGACAGATTTGTTTACTCTTTTGGCAGTCTATTCAATACTCTTCCCCAACATCACAGTTTGAAGACATTGGTTCTTTCTTATTGTCAACATTCACATGCATATGAAGCAATTGGAAACAACGTGGCTTGGGTCAGGTCCATCTTAAGTTTTTTAACTGACAGCCTTGTTCTGATTTTTTTTAAAAATAATTTTAATGAGCATTTACATAAGTTGCTGCACTTCTCTCCCCGCCCAGCCCTCCCCCTCCCAAGTCCACTCCTCTCTTTCAAAAGTAAAAGAAACACTGTTGCTACCATTGATTGTTGACTGTGCATCCAAGTCAAATTGTTGACAACTTCAATCTTTTATCCATCTATCCTGATGTTGCTTACTGATCCAGTCATGAGGATTTTTGTTTTCTTGCTGTTGAAATGTAATCTATATTGGTTAAATCTTTGGTCTTATTCATTGATTAATTCATACTGATTAAGTCTTTTGGTCTTATTCAGCATTTCTCATACTCTTTACTTTCTGCAAGCAAAGTTGTGCCGTCTGCATAAAGCAGGTTGTTGATTAGGCTTCCTCCAATCTTTATGCCACAAACTTCTTCATGTAGTCCAGTTTCTTGAATGGTTGGCTCAGCATACGGGTTGAATAGGTATGGAGAAAGGATACAACCGTACACATATCTTTGCCAATTTTAAAGCATGCATGACTTGAATAGAACTTTTTTTTTTTTTAAAGCTGTATATATCCAAGAGATTTAGGTTGGGAAATGGGGTTAATAGGTGAAGTATTGCAGATCTTTAGGGGGTAAAACAGCTGAGTGGTAATGGAATTGTGGACACACAATCTTATGCCAGAACAGAGAGAAGCTAATGTGTTATTAGGGCCCACAGAGGCTCCAACCACAGCGAGCCTGTTTACAGAACGATCCAATCTAAACCCACCTTCACTCACTGCCATAGATCAGCCGGTTGCAGCACTGCGCCCATTCATCTGCCTATTCGTCTAGCTAAGGGCCGGCCTTTTCTCCCTCTGAACTTCTACTTTACTAACCAGTTTCTTTCTCCAGGGACTGACTGCCCTCGTGATAGCATTTTCAGTGTGAGATGAAGTTTCATCATCCCTGCTTTTAAATAGCAAGGTAATGCAGGCCAACAATTAGTGAGACATAATTGAAATATGCCTATAGGCATATTTTTTTTTTTGCAAAAGTGAAAAGGAATAAAGTTTCTTGCTATAGAAAAGGAGTTTTTAACTTTTTATTTTATCCCCTTAATTTGTGGTGAGATGCCTTTGAATTGGATCTGATTCATGAGTACAGAGGTGTCAACAGAATGAAATCCTGCCTTATCCTGTCCCTCTCACAGTCTCTGCGGTGCTTAACCCATTGTTGGAGTTTCTGTGTCAATCCATCTTGTTGAGAGTACTGCTTCTCTTATATGGACCCTCTACTTCTCTTCTGGTGTTCTTTTCTAGGGATCAGTCCCTCTTGAAAATATGCCCAAACTATGAGATGAGGTCTCATCATTCTTGCTTCTAAGGATTACACAAGCTGTATTTCTTCTCAGACAAATTTGATTGTTCTTTGGTACTTTTTTAAAAAAATTTATTTTATTTCATTAATTTTTGTGTGTACCGTCAAATCAGATCTGACTGGTACAGGAGGAGATTGTTCTTCCTTCTCCAGCAGAGCATCTGGTGGATTTGAACCATGCACCTCTTAGACTGTAGTTGCAGCTTCTTGCCACTAGGCCACCAGAGCTCGCCGGTACTCTTGATAATGTAGTATGATTGGGGGGAAAAAATCAACTAACTAAGCATTAAATAGAAAATATTTTGCTTTGATTATTGATGCTTACTAGATACCTTTATTTCTGTTAGTCAAAACCAGATATATTTTTTCTTTCCTATCTTTAAAAACGAAAAAGCTTACAGTGTCCCAGTTCCATTAATTAAATTCTTAGTACGTGTTTCCCTATGCTCTGTTCCCTCAAAATAAACTACTGAAAAACTAGTGCAGGAGATTTCAATTAACTAAGATTTTACTGAACATTGTTCAATAAAAGGAGCCCTGGTGGTATAGTGCATAACGTGTGGGGCTAACCGAGAAATCGGCAGTGAGAACTGACCAGGCATCCTGAAAGAGGATGACAGGAACGTCTCCTGAAAAGATTCACAGCCTCAGAAGCCTGAGGGAGGTTCTTTAAGACTAAAAACCCACCCATGGTAGTGGCTTGTTTTGGTTTTACTAGTTAATTGGTAACCAAGACAACGATACATTTTCAACAACAATGCCAAATCTCCCTTTATCTCATCTTTAAAGTGAACATGACTTAATACATATTAACAATTCATTTATTTTAGAAAGCAATGGCCTTATACCATCTGATGGATTCAAAGCATCTTGAAATTCCAAGTTTTTACAATTTATTATTGCTTATATATCAAACATACAGAGCTTAAAAGACCTTGAGGTAAAATCACAAAATTTTTATTTATTATCATAGTAAATATTTTCTTGGCATTTGACATAATTCTAGTGTTTAAAAACAGGTTCAAATCTGTGAAGCCAGCCAGATGAAGTCTTTATTTTTTTTTTAAAAAGGTAAAGCCAACAACCCAAAGATATATTTCATATAATAGCAAAATATAAATACAGAAGCCAAGTGGCAAAACAAAAAAGAAAGCAAAGTCATGGATTTAAGTAAATTTGATTCTACACCTCTGACCTAGTGGTTCTTTTCGTTCCTCCATTATTACTTACATATGTAAAGCTGATATTGTCACAATTGAAGAGGGGTCTTAAAAAGCTCAGAAGGACTTTAAAACAATTTATTTTAAAAATGTACAAATACTTATAGAAATAATTCAGTCTTGCTTCAGTGACAGTATCCTTTTAAACCAGATTCTGGATATTTCTTAGAATTGTTTCAAAATCTCAATTGGAGATATAAGCTTTTTTAAGGAAATGATAATCACTGTTTATCACAAAGTTGTGATTAAAAAAGACAATTAATATGAGAACCATCCTCCCTGAGGCAAAGAGAGAACTAGAACACAGCTGGTAGAGTTCCCTGAGGTGGTTCAATCAATCTATGGGGAGTCACGTTGACATTGTACTTTGTCACCCCAATGAGGTCATACGCTATCTCAGTGAGATTCTTATGGAAGTAGGATTTCTGCTCTGTAAACATTCACAGTGCCAGCTGTTTCCTCCCTGCTCCACTACTTCCTCTGAGAGTACTGCTCCCCTGAAGAGTCATTTCTTAAGATACCCAAAAAAGAAACTCAGTCTTTTTTCCTGTGAAAAGACAGAAATATCCACATAATATGTAAGCTTTTGGTAATTAAGAAACTGTCCTGCTATTCAAAGCATGTAATCACTTGATCCCTACAGATTCCCGAGGCACTGAAAATGCTCTCTGGTTACTCAGAGCTCATCAGAGGTGCTGTTTGTCTTTGGAAGCTCACATTCATCATTGGCCCGACAGCTCTGAAGGATGTCCTTGTAATGGTTCTTTAGGTCCTCGTACAGAGAAACAGTTTCTTGAGAGTGAGCAAAGGGTAACACCTTTTCGTTCAGCAACATCTGCACTCGGAACTCTTCTTTAGGCGTCTTCGCGTTCTTGCAGTGGTAAAGCAGAAAGATCAGGTTGGAGGCATAGGGTACAATATGACCACTTCGGAACTTCCGGTGCGTTTGTTCTTTATAATTGTAAGCGGTTAGGGGCTCCTTGTCTTTGAAGAGGCCCATGAGAGAAAGCAGTGGGAGAAGTGTCTCAGCGTGACCAAACTGGAGGATGACGGGTGATGAAATTGGCTGAGACCTGGAAAAGAAATTGAGAGGAAAAATAAACAAAAAACTTTGTATGTATCAATATATATGCCATAAAAATAATCTATACTTAGAAATACTATGCAATTGTCTTAGAAAGAAAATCTTTATATACCTAAATACAGAACTAAAATTCTGTGTAGCACAGAATTGAGCTTTGCATACTGAAAATTCTACAATTCAAGATCTCCATAGTGTTGCAAAGCTACCTACAACAACATGTGTTTTCACCGAGACATAAAGGGGCATTTTACTCATTTGTTTTTAGGAACTTGAAAAAGATGTAATTTTATATTGTACTTTCTTTCAAGGGAGCTCGACGGCCTCGTGGTAAGAATCTGTGCTGCAACCCCGAAGGTATGCAGTTTGAATCCGCCAGCTACTCTGTTGGAGAAGGATGGGCAATCTCCTTTGTTTTGTTACCCATAATGTATTTATTATAAAATGAAAAGTTTTCTATCAAAATACACTTTTTACTGGGAAAAAGAAATAAAACGGATGCATCTAAACAAAGTCTAAATGGACTTTGGCAGACTGCCGGGCACCGGCCCTGTTCTCCCAGAGCTGCCCGCTCATCTTCCAACCTAAGAATTTCAAAAATATTTTAAATGATGTTTGATTCTCTTGACATTTTTCATTGCACATCATCTTCAGCCAAGCTCTGAGCTCTTACTAATTGTGGGGAGCTTGGTCAGAAGCATCTAGAACACCGGTGGGGGAAGGGTCTGCTGTAACACCTGCAGCAGCTGCTGGGGCTGCGCACACACAGCAATGGCATTTGCCAAATAGTCCACACCCTTCTCCTATTCAACCTGGGCTAGTAACTCTTCGCCATGCTGCACGTCTTCAAGGAAGGGCTTTTGAACAGCTTGAGCATCTTTCAGGTGTGGTAACTTGCAAAGGCCTGCTCCCTCCTTGGCAAGCTTCTGCTTCTTTCTTTGCTCCTGTAGACTGTTCTTGAAGTTGGGGTCACTCTACCTCTTGGAATCAAAGTAAATTCAGTAGCCGATGAAGAGCGCCCCGCACACCCAGGCAGGATGGCGCTGTTCTGGTCCACTATCTTCTTTCAACCACGGTAGGGCACAGCCGATCTCGAAAGAGTCATTGCTCCGCCAACCTTCTCCTAAACAGGAGGCCCGGTTAAAGCAGCAGGCCTGGGAAGCCAGGGACTCACGGGCGCCCCCCACCCCCACCCGGTATCCCTTCCAGCCCTGTCACCAGCCATCCTGGAGCCGAGGGCGTCCAGCGCACTTGCCTGAGCAAAAAGGCGCTGGTTCCTGCAAGGGTCCCATGCCCAAGGCACGGGGAACTCTTTCTAATCACACAGGATCGCCTTCTGTGGGATTAACTGCCTCGGAAAACCCGCTTAAGTGTCAGCTTTGGGCTGGTTCGACTCGACAGTACACAACAACTGTCTGTGACAATAAATATTTTTTAGCCTCATTATGCCTAAGGAACGAGAGAGCGCTCTAACAGCATGGTCTGTGGGGAGGTGCACTAACCCAAAGGCCTTGCCTCTCTGCTCCACCACTGGTCCTGAGGTAGAAAGATGGGCGATCTCTTTATGCTTCAGAACACCAACGGAGGGTCAGGTGGGAGTCTGCTCCCACTCACATAATCCTGCCAAGGATTTCTAAGACCTGGAAATCAAATTCTGAATAGCCCCACACAAAGGTAGAAAACCTTCCCCCACACACCAAAGGGGATCTAAGGTGTCTGTAAAGGAGCAGTGGTGGTGCAGTGTTAATTGCCTGGCTGCTAACTAAAAGGTTGGCATTTTGAACTACCAGCCACTCCATGCAGCAGTATGATTCTGCAAAGACTAGGAAGCTTATGGAAAGCAAGTTCTACTTCGTGTTATGGTGCTACTACAAGTCACAATCAGCTCAAGGGCAAAGGGTTAATGTGTCTGAGGCTGGACACTATGAACCAAGTGGTCTTCTAAAAACACTTCTTTTTATACCATCATTCACTTTTATATAATAATTCATACACCTTTCTTCACTCATGTACATTGTTGTTTATAGAATAATTTCTGTACATTGTTTTAATTACTTTTGACCTTACTTATCTCCCTATCTCAAGTCTCCTTTGCACCTTACCTATTTCTTCTCCATCCTCTCTCCCCATTAATCTCTGCTGTCCAAATGATTTCCTCTTCTTTTTCCACACTCCTCCTTTTTCCCTTCTGAACAATTATATATATCTTCCTATTTGCTAATTGCAGTAACACTGCTTTTGTTGTTGTGTGCCATCGGGTTGGAACTAACCTATAGCTGATCCTGCAGCAGGTTTTCGGAGGTAGTTAATCACACAGGAAAAGATCACCATCCTTCTCCCATGGAGCAGCTGGTGGATTAGACCTGTTTACTTATGGGACTGCAGTGCAGCTTCTTGTCACTAGGCCACCAGAGCTTCCACCAGGGCAGCAGTGCAATAGTGCTAAGTTAACTTCTTATTTAAGTTTTCTATGACTTGTTGTTGTTGTTATGTGTCATCGAGTCGCTTGCGACTCATAACAACCCTATGTGCAAGAGCCCTAAACGCCGTTCTATCCTGTGCCAACCTAGCCATCTCAACACACTCATTCCCACCACTCCACTCACAGAATCGATTCATCTCATCGAGGGTCTTCCTCTCCTGCGCCGTCCCTCCACTCTCCCAAACATGATGTCCCTCTCCAAGGACCAGTCCCTCCTTGCAACATGCCCAAAGTATGTCAGCCAAAGCTTCAGAATCCTTGACTCCAGGGAACATTCTGGCTTCACCCCCTCCAGGACAGACCTGTTTGTTCTCCAAGCAGTCCATGGTATATTCAACACTCTTCTCCAGCATCAGAGCTCAAAGGCATCAATTCTCTATCATCCCCAGTCACTGTCCAACTCTCCGATGCATAGCACATAATTGCAAAGACTATAGCCTGGACCAGGCGCACCTTAGTATCCAGCCAGGCGTGGTTGCTCTTCAGTACTCTTGAGAGGTCCCTCACAGCTGACTTTCCCAATGCAACTTGTCTCCTGATTTCCTGGCTGCTGTTACCAAGAGTGTTGACTTGTGGAACCAAGTAAACTAAAACTGTTAACTATCTCAATCTCTTCACCATCCATACTGATGCTGCCAATTGGCCCTGTGGTGAGAATATTTGTTTTCTTGATGTTGAGCTATGATAAAAATTTTTGTTTTATACTAAGGAGTAGTGAATGATTACTTAGGTCTCTATCAATTTTATAAAAAACCCTATAATTGTGATGGTTCTTGTATACAGACTGAGAGGCAGTTATGAAAAAAGAAAAATAGGCTCCTGCAGGGTTTGTGATCAGGAAGGGTATGTGCTAATGGTTATATCCTTTCATCAATACTTTGTTACTCAAGTAGCATGCTGAGCAAACAATCTAAAAAACTGGATTAGGAGAAGAACAATGTGGAAGAAAATTTGGCGGAAAACTCATTAACAGCCTGTATACGAAAATGATATAGCCTTGCTGGCTGTAACTGAAGAGACCTTGACATTCTTTAACTGATAAAGATCAGATAAGTAGCCTTCAGTGTGTTTGAGTGATGTTTCAACATAAAACAAAACAAATATCCTCACAATTGGACTAATAAGCAACATTATGGTGAGTGAAGAAAATATTAAAGCTATAAAGGATTTAACTTTATTTTGAGCTAACATCCATACCCATTGGAAGTTGCTGTTGTTGTTGTTGTTGTTAAGTGCCATTGAGTCTCAGGCGATTCATAGGCCCTATGAAGGAGAGTCCTCAACACTTGTGTGTCTCTCATCCTCTCTCCAG